CTCTCCGCCATTTCTTCGCATTGAAACTTTCTTAAGTAAACTTGAGAATTTCATTCAACTTACACGATAAATTATTTCAGAAAGCATAAAATATTTTCTTCCATTTCAAAGTTGTATAAATAACAAATCTTTTTTGGTTACGACGCGGCGCACGACGGTGTCACGATGTCGCATTATTAATAGACAGGTCATTGACCTTTCGTCGTTGTACGTATAGTTGGAATACATTAAATATCTAACAACATTGATATCAATGTACGAGACAGCAGCTACACCGATTACCTAACGGAATTCATTATTAGCTCTAATGCTCCTTGTGAAAGAATTTGTCAAGAGAAGTAATGCCACCTTACCTATTTCTGCCGCCAATCTGTTAAGTGAGCATTATTGCGTTCCGGTTTTGAAGGGCGCTGGTGAAATTACAGGAACATGGGACTTGTCAACTTATGCCCCTCGGTGACGAGCGCTGCCATTGCCACTCAGGTGTGATGTGATAACAACTGCTATAGACAAGCGTGTTGTTCATCCCCTCGTTCGGTATCATAAAAAAAAACTATCCAGGACACGTAGACCGAATCCAATTTAGAAAAGTTCGTTTCCAAATTGGTTTTACCGGGAATCGACTAGGAACTCCTCTCCGCCTTCAGACTCAAAACCTTTGAACCATCGAAGTCATCAGCATCTGTTGTATAAATGCCATTTTTTTAACGATACCGAGTGACGGGACGGACAAGTTGTGCGCCTGGTGGTTAGCGACACGCATAGGCGTACCTATACCATTGAGAGCTTTAATTGCAAAGATATGAGGGGCACTGCCACAGTGCCCGTCACCCTGAGACAAGTCCCATGTGCCCGTAATTTCATCAACACCCTTACCTTTCGAAACCGGAACGCAATAATGCTCATATTATTGCTTGACGACAGTAATATGAAAGATGGCAGTAAGTACTTGCCTGGATGAATGCTTGCACAAAGAGCTCTACTGCGAATACGGTCCACCCTAGCTAAATACAGCTTTTCAAGCAGAGAATTTCAAATAGGGAAAGGTTTAAGGAGTAGCACTCGCTCTCATCCTATAGAAACACTTATAGACCTACTAAAGGCGGTCCAAATAAAACCGTAATTTTACTACCAAACTCGCGATACCCTGCCAATTATCACGAAAACCAAAATAACATTCGAAAGCCCTTATTTGGCGTTTTCCTCAACAAATCGTTGTACCCTCATTTATCCAAAATTAGCTCCTATAATTAAAATAAAAGCTGCATAAAGGGTGCTCAGGAAACTGCTTTATTTGCATATCTTACTTGGTTATTCTGGAGCAAATGGCCTATAAAATGCTCCGATAACGGCTAAGGTAAAACGCTGGGTTATTCAATAAAAATTTATACTTTCTTGAACCGGTAAGATTGTTAGCGTTTACGTGTAGTGATGCGTATTGTGACTACCCTTAGAGCCTGTGCACATGGCGTATTTTGTACGCGTTTCACGAAGGTGCGTTTACGGCGCTATAGGCCTCTACAAAACGCAGATTGTTGCGTTTGTATCGATTCAACTGCGATACAGACGCGCGCAAGAAGCGCATTCGCTTGCACGTTGCAAGCAAGCTTATATACACCACTGGAGTTTACACTTAGAATTTTATGTAGTTGCTTCATTTCAAAAACGAAATGGTTTCAAAAACTAACTGAAATTAACAAACAAAACAGCTCTGCGCTTCGTGGGCGCGTTTAAAATACGCCACTTATTCGATACATGTACGGTACATGCGGTGGCTAAAAGTGACCTCTAACTAAAGATTTCCAGAAAACAGAATTGAGGCGCGGTTTGTAATAAAAATGTATTTCACATAATGACCTTTATATCAATTATGTAACCAACAAACTAGATATGATACGATTCCCTAGACCACGCGAGAATTCTCTAGAAAATACGCAACCTGTTCATTACGCGAAGTACAATTTCGCTACCAAATGTGGCCAGTGATTCATTTTCCTATTTAATATTTGTTGCGACTGCAACTGAATTTTTGTAATAAAATTTAATATAACTTTCAAAGCAGTAACTAAACGCTCAAGGGCACATACATGTTATTTCATCGCTATCACAATTTAACGACCTTTTCGTATGAACTCAAAAAGGTCAAAAAGGACGTTCACTTTTGAATTCTACTTCTATAAGAAATCACCACTGTTAGCGATTAATGGCACTACTCCTGTAAACCAGCAACCTATTGTCAATATATTACAGTCAACTTAAATCGCCTTTAATTTTACGAGCTCGTTGAGATCCTCTACATCTTCTACTTGGGTCTGGCGGCTACAATATATAAATAAACGCATCACACTCATAGCCCCGCACTAGGAAAACCCTGTGGCGCTACACAGCGCGCACATACAGACAACCACAAATTACAGCCAAACTCACGAGAGAAATAAATGTAGGCCATACAAATATTTCTCCCGGCCCGGGAATCGAACCCGGAACCTCTGCGTAGCAGTCCAGCAAGAATACATATTGCTCTTATTATTCAACCTTTTCTAGCGGTCTTCTTATTTTTTTAGCGGTTCAAATTGTATCCCCGTTCCAGAGTCTAATTCAATTTAAATGTACCAAACACACCAAATACATACATTATATGAAATGAGTATCGGGTAAACCAAACCGCTAATCAGCCATGCTTTTGACATGTGTCCCAAACTGTTTGGGAATATGTTATTAAGCCACTCGTGGGAGTAATGCGTTCGATACGTGTTCAGAACTAGATATTGACAAAGCCTTGTCATTTAATAGATTAAAAAATGTTTTTTTTCTCAAACATTACTTTCGAAAAATGAATACGGAAAGTCTATCATTTATAGACCGTGTGACGTCTTCCCAGCCAGGGCCTGCAAAAAGAGACCCCCACACTGGTGTCTTTTAAGCGTTAGCGTAATTCCAACGCTAGTACAGCGTCGACACGACGGCGACGTCCGCGCGGTATAGTGTATAGTGGCGAACTAGGGGATATTTCAATGAAACTTAACAAATAGACGTAATTCCACGTACTTTTGAGGTCGGTTTTTTTAGTACTCTGTACTGAGATTATTATATTGATATCATGATGTATATCAATACTCAACTAGTCTGTTATTGTTATTGATATAAAAATGAAATTAAAAAAAACTAATTCCTTAATATTGATGCTTTATTTTCTCAAACACGTATCTTATAAAAGTGATTATTCAGGAGATAACAAAACTTTCTTCTTATTTTAAATTTCTTATTACGGGTGTTAACTTGGATGCATTACTTTAAGAATAAGTAAAAGCCAGTGTATGAATATGAAGGAAATGCGAAATCAGCCTGCAAAACTTGTATAATACATTTTTTGCATTTCAGTTACTTTGTGCTTTGAGATACAAGTTTGATAAAGTAAGGTAACGATATGGCTGCTATGATACCTATAAAGGTATCTTAATCATGAACCCATTTATCCGCTCACGCGATGCGCTCCTCCTACCGCAAAATGGCGGCTATTTGGTTTCGCAAATTAGAAAAGCATTCAGTTTAAATACAAGTTTTTATAAATAAAAATTATTATTCTGTATTGCTAGTACTCCGTAGTACCAACAAAAACATCTCAAATATAATGCAGTAATACACCGCAAATCCTGCACTTAAAAAGCACTAATGAAATTTTAGGTGTACTTGGATAAATATGATAATATTCCGTTTGAGTGGTTCTAACGTTTACCATGAAATTACTCCTTAAAGTATAGTTTATAAACATTTATATTCAGGGTAAACTTAAAAAATGCTACTTACGGTATGTCTTCAATAAATAAACACCGAAATCACCAGCCCAAACAATAACACGATTTTCGTGACGTATTTTTGAAGTTGTTTATTTTTTTTAAATGACAAACCCAGGCATTAAAATCTTTATGGTTTGCTAGAGTAGTTACCGAAATACCAATTAATATTAGTTCTTTTACCTGTTATAACTTCGATATCCGATAAATCGTTATAAAATCATCACGCGCACCTCTAGGTCGGTATGCGTCTACGGCTGCATGTATCGCGTGAGCGACTAAACTCACTCATACTTTATCGAGCTCTTTGTAAAAGAGGTCGTCCAGGAAGGTACTGCCACCTTACCTATTTTTTTTACATAAAAAATAAGTGCGCATTTGACATCCATCTCACCTGATGATGTAGCATACCGCTAAACAGTAGTGTGAGCATTACTGAGTTTCGGTTTCGAAGGATAAGGGTGCTGGTGAAATTACAGGCACATAATGGAACTTGTCAACTTATGTCTCAGGGTGTCAGACGCAGTGGCTGTGCCGCTCAGATATTTATGGTTTAAAGCTCTGAGTGATACTGCAACTGTCATGGACAGAAGTGTCGCTTACCATCAGGCGCACGACTTATTCGTTCCGTCACTTAATATTATATATATAAGGCCATAGTGCTCCACGCTGCGATGCGGGTTAGGAACTTCACACGTTTTCCGAGGGTTGAGAACCTAATTCGACGTGCAAGTCCGTCACGAAGTCTTCACCTTCACCGCAAAACTTATGGTAAAAATGTTTGTACGAAACACCTCAGAAACTCTCCGTGTCGCATAATCGTTGGACAACTTATAACGTATTATATAGGCTACAAAAAGGACACTAAGCATACAAATGCGTTGAATAAAAAGATTTAAATAACTGTTGTAGTGCTTATAACATGATATTGACTCTTGTGGCCTTCTCAAAAATTTAAAATCTAACTAGGGTCTTGGTGCACGCTGCAAGCTGACAAGTCCCATGTGCCCGTAATTTCACCAGCGTCCTTTCGCTTCAAAGCCGGAACGCATTATAGCCCACATTACTGCTTGGCGGCAGAAATAGGTCTAGTGGTAGTACTCTCTGGACGAACTCTTTCTCAAAGTTCTACTGCTTCCAAGATAATCTACAATTAGTAAAGATGGTGCAATATTACAAAAATATTTATAATATTTGTTGCTCCAGGCCAATCTCACAACAATAGCTACGCACTCTACCACATAGGCGAAGTTGCTCGGCCGTCAATACGAGAGTTTGCCCAATTGGGCAACATAGACCAGCTTATGGAGGAAGGTAATGAAGAGACAAACGTCTATGATCAGTTTGCAACGCCTGCTTTGAGGGATGGAGAAGGAGAAACTGAAGGACTGGTGTTTGTTGATGGAGAACACAGCCTGGTGAGTTTAAAAATAATTATAGTATTTTACGCAACCTTTGTGTAATGAGCGTTCTTAGTACCGTGTTTTGGCCACGAAGCTTTGACGAGGCCAGGATTGCATACAATATTTTTTTTATATGAGTAAATTAAAATAATGAAACAACCCATATTTATAAATAATCTTTAATCTAATTAATAACAACCCACGACAGCAAATTCATACGACAAAACAAAAAACCAAAGAGATAGAAGTGTCTGTGATTGGTTAAACTCTAGCACTATAGCGAGTGTTTGATATTGACATCCACGTTAATATTTTAGTAAAGAACTTGGTAATTTAAATTTCTACAGCATGGCGAGAGTCTTTGTGTAACTTATCAGCATTGATGATGAAAGTAGTATGTAACTTGCACAATGAATAATTTAGTATGTTATCATACAAGCCTCAAAGCACCGCTCGCTTGCCGTAATTGTGTTCAAACGAAATACATCATAAAATATCTGGAACAAAATATGTTTACTCAAACATTTTTACGTCAAAATTCAGTATTTCGTTATTGATGACGTTCTATAATAATAAGTTCATTTATGATAAGATTATGTATGTGTGGCCTTAGAATAATAACGCATAGAATGATAGTTTCATATCAAACGAATTGTCACAAGTGAGGCCAAAATCAAATTCATGCAGGCTAGTTTTAGTAGTAGGTTAATTTTCGGTTTTAGTGAATATTTATATAAAAATACAAGTTGAAACGCGTTACTTCCTTGTGGAATGTGATGTTAGTATCTATTTTATGTTTGTCTGACGTATTTTTACACTCATTTACCGCACATTTCGTAATTTTTAGCTAAAATTCTTGATCTGTTCGCGGTGCAAGTTGACCTTGAAAACTGAAGGCCCGCCCGCTCGTGTAGGCCCTTTCCCCCTCCGTTGTTGGCGCGCTTCAATTTGCCTCACTTAGCGTGTGCGGGCTAGGTTTCTATGCGTTATTATTCTAAGTGTGTGGCGTTCTTGGATTGGCACGATTGCTACACATTGGAAATGAACCTATTTGTTTTTTTTTTAAACAAACCAACAACTCACGTCTGACTGAGATTCTTTGTATGAAAAAAACAAATATAGTTACACGATTTTAGATTCGGAAAACAGTTTTCATTTCATTTACTAAGACAACGTTGTTCGTTTGTGAGTAAATGAATGAATGCCATCACTGCCATTCTACTGACATAACACTCTATTAAGACTCAACGTATCTAGTTTGTACGTACACAATTTACATACAGTACATTATTATTTCTACAGCTTCGTTAAAAACACTAGTTTCCAATCCGTTCCGCAGTAATGTAAATTAAGCTTATGACCTTTCTCAACTAAGTTATTTTACAAATTAACTTCTTTTATGTTGTTTCACAGGTGTCACTAATTTGTCGAATGGTAAATTCTCCTGATTGGTTCGTTGGGATCGACAGTCTTAATCTTTGTGTGGACTCCTCTTGGGTAGAAGAAGTTGCTCTTGACGTAAGTCTTTAACATCATTAAAACTAAACTGTAAATTATAAGTATATTATCAAACAGCATGAGGATCGAGAAAAATATATTCAAATTCAATACTAAACCCATCTATCGGCAGTTTGGAGTCGAAAGATCCAATTTCAAAGGTCAGTCCCCATAAGAGAGAAGATTACTTAAAAGGCTTGTGTGCCAGACACTGTCAAAGGCTTTAGAAATGTCCAAAGACGTTGCAAGTGCTTCGCCTTGCTTTTCTATAGGCTCGCTCCATATGTGACAAGCATACACAAGAAGATCTCCTGTAGACAGGCTCGTCGGAATCTGTACTGGCGATCACTGAGGAAGTGGTTATCTTCAAGTTACGACAAGACATAGTTATTGAGTACACGTTCCATAGTCTGTAGAGTATGGAAGTGACTGAGATAGGTCTACAGTTGACAGTGTCAGCTCTGCATTCTTTTTTAGGCACAGGCTAGCTTCCACAACCTGGGAACTACACCAGTCTCAAGTGAGTGACGATACAGGCGTGTGAGAACAAGAAATAACTCAGGCGCACATTTACGTAGGACTATTGTTGGAATTCCGTCTGGCCTTTTAGCTATATTCACGTCTAGATTCCGCATAGTTCTAAGTACCTTTTTGGCGTATGCGAACTGGCGCATAGCGCAGCCAGCCTGAAGTAAGGTAGTTGATAGGTTCCTTGCGGCAGCCTTTTACGGGTCGCTTTCCCGCTACTTGTTTCCCCAAGTTCCCACGATCGGCAAGCGGTGCACCGTGCTTTGGATCCCGTTAGCCTCGAGAACGAAGTGCTCAGTGTGGCAGTACAAGCAGCTAGTACAAGCTGCTGGACAACTCGTCGTCAGACGCAATGCAGCTGTTCAGACCCGATCACGAATGGCAACTCCCGAACACGAATCGGAACACGGTAAAAACCAGTTTACAACTCGACTGCGTCGGGTGGGATGGTAACTAGCCATGACCGAAGCCTATCACCAGCAGTTAATGCTCGTTTAACAGTACCCAGGGGTCACTTGTGGGGTCTCGAGGGTAAACGCGCAAACCAGGCGCACGACTTGATCATCCCGTCACTTCATACTCATAAAAAATAAATTAAAAATAAATAGGTTTCCCAGTAACAATAAAATCCACCATCATGGTGGATTTTATCCACTCCAACAAGGCCAGCGCGTTGTCGAGTGGCGGCCTCGTTCCAGAAGACGCAGTAGGAATCTGCCAGATGCGAGCCATGGAAGCCACGAGCTACCGTCGTTGTCACGATCTTCAGGGAACATCTATGTCCAACAGTGGACAACCTTCGGCTATTGAAACAAAGATATTATTGTCAGCAATAGTAAAAGGGGTTTCAAACTGTGTTCTTAAAATTCAGGAACGGTAAAATAAATTCTAAGGCCAATTGTAACAAATATAAATTGAGCTTTTGAGAATGATTATTTTCCATTAAGGCATAATGAGCTCACCTTATTTACTCCAGATTTAATGAAATAAATGTATTTAATTTTGGGAAATTTCAAAGATTAAAAGTGTTAAAGGATTAAATGGAATAACGCTTGTTTACAAGTAATGTTGTTCCAATTATGATATTTGAGCATAAACTGACCAAATTAAGGAAATAAAAAACTTCTGAAATAGTTATTAAAATTATGTTACGTGGTGTATTTTGTTTGGTGGTGAGAAAAAGAAACGTTTAATAAGTAAGTCAGCATTCTTACAGATTTTTTTTTTCATTATCAATAATGAAAAAAATATTACCACGAAAGTATTATTACAACAAATACGAGTTAATGACATATATAACAGAGGCGTTTATGACGGTAGACCCAGAATATATAGGGTTGTTATTAATATATTAATAACCTTGCAGAACTATATTACTAAAATCATAAACAACATCTTTTGTTCCCTAACATTTTACAAAACAATATAAATTTACCAAAGACAAACTTTGAAATTTTTGTTGTAGTATCTGACACTTATTAGATCTGTATTTGGTAGCAGGTAAGTTCGAACTTGCAAGCGTCTTCTCCGACGACTCCCGCGTTTTGCACAGATTTATCACCGTATAAACCGATCTGTTTAAATATTAACGGCCTCGGTGGTCGTGTGGCTTGCACATCGGTTTTCATGGTATCGCCATCTCTTAGGTCCGGGGTTCGATCCCCGGCCGGGTCAGTGTAGAAAACTAACTTCTCTATATTGTCTCGGGTCTGGGTGTTTGTGGTAACGTCGTTATTTCCGATTTCCATAACACAAGTGCTTTAACTATTTACTTTGAGATCAGAGAAACGTGTGTGACGTTGTCTAATACAATACTATATATAATATAATTTTCTAAGAAAGTTAAATCTGATGAATGATTAAATGTCATGGAATAAAAATTATTGTTTATGATGTTAGTAAGTATATTTTACTAATGACCCAGTATAGTAGGTTACTCAAATTTTAAATTAGTAAGCAGTCACCTGCCGCCATGATTTGAACCGTCCATTGAGAAACTATCGTCCCCCAATTAGGTTACCACCATGCTGCCATTCTAACGCCAAAACGAACAAGACAAAACACATAATAAGTGATAAAATTAATGTTGATTTTGCAGCTTGAGCCTTTGGACGTCGGCTTCACATCAAACATCGATATGCCTGAACCCGTAGAAAAATTATTTCACAAATTATATCCTGGATTGCGATTACAATATAGAAAACTGACACAAATGTCCCCAATAGCCAAAGTCGAATTTACTAAGGTAATAATTTAGTTTGCTTCTGATATAACTGTTGAAACCATTTCTTGAAAACACTTTTATAACGTAGTACGTAGACATTCCTCATAGTGTGCATAGGACTTGTTAATAAAGGGCATTAGTGAACGTACAGTCATGGACTAATAAGGACTTTAAATAGGTTGAATTGTAATAGCAATGTCCATAAGAACCAGGACGTTGGCGAGTCATCGGAGGAGAAGCAGGAAAAACTGTTTTGTTAGATCAAATGGTTAAGGTAACTACTATTAATAACAGTGTTACAAAAAATACATATAAGGATATTATCTAAAGAACATGTTAATTCGTTACATGATAGGATGTACTTTATCCGATCATATAAAATCCTGAAAATAGGTAAAATAAAGTCTAAAACGAATAAGGGAGACGTACCAAATATCGGATACTTTTTTGAACATTCGAAAAAAACACTAATATAATATTTAAACATTTATATTTATTACAGTCACAGACTTTACGTTAGAAAATGAATTAAACTTATATCTATGTTAATTTATTTTTTATATATTTATTTTGTTTTAATTAGAAAAATCAACGATGTTTTCACACGTACCTCAATAATGAATATCCAGTACAGGGTATACTATTTAATATTGGATATCCAGTATAGGATACACTCTATTAACCAGCGCATGTATTTAAATGATCCTTTTAAATTTGCAAAAGCAGTAAGCCAAAAAATCTAAACGGCCATCATTTTTAATGATCCCCATCTAAACAAATAATTAAACATTTAAATATGAAAGACACTGTACAACCAATGATGTAGGTACTCCAATATCGGATATCTAGTATGGTGGATACCTGGGTATCCAATATTGAGGTAACTACCTAATTGTACAATAATCGGTTACGAAAATTTCTGCGCAATTATCGCTAAAATGCGTTAACGTCTGTATTCTAACTACGCACCTAGCTAGTATATAACACTGTCACAAAATATTATATATAGTACTTTAACAGCGGAAAATTACACTTTGAATGTTGACAGCGAACTGAAGGTAAAAATGGCGCAGACAACTAGTAAAATATTGGTAACTTACATTGACGAAGTAGTTCTAATTAAATTTTTATTGAATTGATATTCAATTATTTTTTTGTGAAATTACTCCACTAGTTTGTTATAATTATTAATACAAAGATCGAACACTCAGAAAAAACACTCAGGAAAGAAGTAGTTCTAGTTTTTAAATAAAGATGTTGTTTAGTTTTGATTATAGCGTGGTGTCCAGTATTCTGCACGTATCCAATATTTGGTACGTCTCCCCTAATTTAAAATTAAATATCTAACCTTGTCACGTATTACATAATTTTTATGTGGGAGTATTTCTTTTTAACTTCTATAGAGAACTTGCTAAATTTTGGTTTTCAACTGAGGCCGTATTGCTATTAAATTCAGATTTATCCCAAAATTTGCTAATTTCCTGGCGCTGTAACGACACGGCGCACCACCCGCTGCTCCGCTATCAGGCGCTTATCGACGTCGGCTCTGTGTCAAATTTTCGCCGCTTTTTCTTATTTTATTCATATTCATTTTCAGCGCGCGGATTGCGGGACGCGAGAGGCGATCGCCCCACACCTCACCGCTTAAAATCTAAGCTCACTTTGAAATACCTCGCCTTAAAACGCGTGACACTAAAAAACTCCACCAGAATATATTAAAAAAAAAACCTTACCTTCACCTAAGGGACAATTGACATTGCCGGGAACGGATGAGAAGCGAATGAACTTTATGTCAATTGTGTAACGGATAAACTAGCTACAAGCAAAAAAACAAATCGCGGCTCTTCGGGAGGATTCTCGCGCCGTTTCGAAAATTCCTGCAGCTACCGTATCGTAGCTAATTTGTACGTTTACACAATTGACAATAAGTTCATTATGCTATGTCCAATTTCGTCACAAAAATTTGCTTCCATTCCACAGATTAGTAAATTGAAGCCTAAAACTGTTATTTCTTTCCAGGTAAAACAATATTCAACAAAAGAAGTAAACAACTTAGTAAGAGCGGAATTATTTTTCAACATAAACCCTAAAAACAACAAAGACATATTTAATTCAGATAATGAAATTTACGAGTATAATGAAAGAAGTTATTTTACAACGAAAAGTCCATTTGATAAATTGAAAGACGTTGAAGAAGACCCTAATGGTACTCCAAAACCAAATTTGCCGGATAACAATGTTGTTGTTATTACAAACAAACCTACGTTTGAGTAAGTATTATATAAAAGAATCTCTTATAATAGATAGTGAAATTGATTTTGATGGAGACACCTATTACAATTAGACTTAGAAGCCGCGAATACAATATTACAAATTCCGTGAAATAAAGTATTAAGTAAACCGCCGAGATATACATTAGAGCTTTTCGTAATAAATGCAAGGAAATGTTACAAAATAAATTAATAAAAGGCAGAAAAGCAAAATTTCAAATCCTATAGACCTTTTGAAAACAGAATAAAAAAACAAACGCACTGCGCCAATGAAATTAAACTGCGCTGAAAAAACGACTGGACGACTTGGCACTATGGCATTTTTCATTAGTTACTTTGATGTTGTATGCAATGGTCAAATATTTAAAAGTTGAACGTTGCGATAAAAAATGGATTTTCTTACGAACTTTCCGGACGAAGCCGGGGAACAATTTGTTTTTAATTTTATAGTTTGGCAAAAATCAGGATGTTGAATGTTCTTTGTTCAAAAGAAGGCGAAAATTTCCGAGCATGTTTGAGAAAAATCAGTATTCTGAACAGAGTCTTGTTAAAAATTATGGGCAAGCAGGGACTTTTCCAATATGAATCCTTTTTAAATGAATTCAAGGGTTTTTTTTTGTTTGCCACTTAGTAAATTCAATAGAACTGGTTACTTTTACACTGAGCAGTTCTAAAATACTTGTATTTTTATAGGTCAGACGACAATTCTCAAGAACACCTAGATAACATGGATGATGTTGTCCTTGCTGTAGCTACTGGACATAAGCTGGGTTTAGGAAAGCATCTACCTAGACATTTCAAATCTAGACTACATCATGCCGTCAACCATACCAAGAGACACAAAGGTAAATGAAAGAAAAATTACCAAATATAATGAAGACGAATTTAGTGGACAATTGTATGTATCCCTGGTATGTGGTTTAAACAACGAACTTCACCTTAGGTCAAGTTAGTTATGAGTATTGCCCCTCCCATGCCTGTACATACTCGAAGTTGGTATATTTGTAAAACGAAATCTATGAAAATTCATAATAGCGAAGGACGTATCTGCGAGAAGCCTAAGGAACCCCAATAAAGTGATACTTGGTACAACACCCAAAACAAAACGTTTCCAAAATAACTCGAACGTTATGTGTGGAAGTTTTTTAATCATATACCAGATCGTTTTAAGCTTCATCCATTGACTAGTTTCAAAAAGGAACTGTGTGGGTGTCTCTTTGAACATTTATTCTACTCAGTTAACGAATTTATGATATATAACAGGTTTTTCTTTACAATTATTATTGTTTACTTTAAATTATGACATCTCGTATTAAATTAATTAACTTAATTTATCAATTTATTGTCTAATTATTGTTTTTACATTTAGTCTTATCTAATCTATCAGTGTATTATTTGATTATTGTATTTGCATGCTTTTATTTAGGAAAGGCCGAATAGGTTTAAGGGCTAATTTAGTTTTTACCATCAACATGTATAATGTGCCCTACCGTATTTGAAGCGAATAAATGAATTATTATTATTATTATTACAACTGATAATGACTTCGTTTTTAGCCGATTTAAAAAAGAGAGGGTTCTCAATTCGACTGAATTCTTTTGGTTGTTACGCGATTACTCTGACATTTGTGAACCGATTTCGATTATTCTTTTTTTGTTGAGAAGGGGTTATCTCAGTAGTAGTCCCATACAAATTCGAAAAAAGTATTCTAACTCTAAGGGTGGCAGATTAGGGGATGAATCTGGGTTATTGGATTTCACCTACTCTCCGCTATAAAAATAAAACTCAGCAAATACATGTCTCGAACACAGCGAAAGCGGATAAGCAAACTTTTAAAATCTTTTTTTTTTATCATTGGTAATGCGTCAATTTCAGGTGAAGACTGCGTAGTATCCGAATGGAGTGCCTGGACAGCATGTACTGAACATTGCAGCGGAGAAACTGTTCGAATGAGATCTATCATCAAGAGAAAGAAAGGCAACGGTCGGGAATGCCCAGCTCTGTTTGAGAAGAAGAATTGCAAAGAAAGATGTAGGGGAGATGGGGATTACATATGGTGATAGTGGGCATAATATAATATCTATGTTGATTACCCACCATGTCACGAACAGCAAAGAATACTTCACTAACAGACGATCTAGGATTTCTAGAACTCATACAATGTATTTATTTCACTAATAGATCTTTGTTTTAGTATTCTTCCCCTACAGGTTTGCCGAGTTTCACATCCATTAATAAAGGACGATGTTTTTCACCCTTCTCTACAAACGGAGGCATTAGACCGCTGTTTACAACCCTTTGAAGAAATTCGGGAACATCGATTTAACTTCCACATGTGCAATAATTATTCCATTATTAACAACTTTCTTATGAAAACAAATTGGTACAAAGTTTTAAAAGCTTAAAACAATGGATGGGGCTGTCGAAAAATTTGAATGAATGTTATTCACTTCACGTTCCAATTTTAAACTATAAAAATATATACAAACGGAGAATAAAATCAAATTCAGCTAGTGAAAATATTTCATTCGAACTTGAGGCGCTGTAGCTCGAGTGTAAGTTTTTCATCATGGCAAACGTAACGAACGCGTTTGCGTTAAAATCGTAATTAGTATGGGAACATGAACAGCGCCTCTGGCGGTACGTATTGGCAACAATAAACGCTAGTGTATATTTTGTCAAAATGAGTAACGCGCTCGATCCGTATTTTACGGATCGAGCGCGTGTGCTCACTGCTATGAAAGTATTTTTTTCTTCTGTAGGTTGGCACTTGAGTTTCGGGATGACAATTATACGATTTATTTAAAACGTAGTTTTGCATTAGGGGCACCGGTCATCGTGAATATTATTCATAATTTGTAGGGATAATATTTGTTCGAATGAACGACGAATGAACATAGTGTTGTTTCATTTTCTTCTACAAGAGTAAAAGAGGCATCAAATATGAGTGCCTACCATTGTTGCCGAGTGTTAGTCAACACAAGTTTTAAAACTTGGGAATTGGTGCGTTATTTTATAAAATTTTCATTCTAGTTTAAGTACCGCCAGAGGCGCTGTTCATGTTCCCATACTAATTACGATTTTAACGCAAACGCGTTCGTTACGTTTGCCATGATGAAAAACTTACACTCGAGCTACTGAATAATAAGACTGTATCATCGGCGGCGTGAGACATGTTGTTGTCACCTTAGAGGGAAAGAGCACATAGTTGGTTAATATAGACTATTATGCTTCTTTGGGGAACACCATATTCAACCGGTAACTCGTTGTTTTGTCTAAAAAAATTAACAGATTTAATTTCATTTAACGCATTTAACTTTGTTCGTCCTTATTTTTGTGTTTATTCTTAATATTTATTAAAATAATTACTGATAATGGACGTATAATGTTAATTATTTTACTTAGAATAATAACGCATATAATGATAGTTTCATATCAAACGAACTGTCACAAGTGAGGCAAAAATCAAATTCATGTAGGCTAGTTTTAGTAGTAGGTTAATTTTCGGTTTTAGTGAATATTTATATAAAAATACAAGTTGAAACGCGTTTCTTCCTTGTGGAATGTGATGTTAGTATCTATTTTATGTTTGTCTGACGTATTTTTACACTCATTTACCGCACATTTCGTCATTTTTAGCTAAAATTCTTGATCTACCGCGAACAGATTTTAGATGCAAGTTGTCCTTGAGCACTGAAGGCCCGCCCGCTCGTGTAGGCCCTTTTGGCGCGCTTCATTTTGCCTCACTTAGCGTGTGCGGACTAGGTTTCTATGCGTTATTATTCTAAGTTATTTTAGTGAATAACTGTAATTGTCCTATCTTATATATGTTACGGATTTCAGCCAATTGAACCGTAAAATCTGAGAAACTAAATTGTTTTTCTAGTTGAGTTTTTCAAACAAAAAGTTTTAATATAAATATAACTGAACAACAATTCGAATTAAACGTAATTTTCTTTTATTTTTTTGGGTATGTTTTTTCGTAGCCGTTATAATTCTAGCACTTTGTCGCAATCTTGTTTTGTCTTTTTTGAACAAAACTAGTGGTATTGTAGAAATTACACAATGGAGTATCAAATAAGTTTTGTTTTTTATTATATTATTTTTAACCGCCCCGATGCAAAAGAGAGGAGTTGCAATTTTGATTCATCCATTCATTTATCTTTGTCTGTATATCTGTATGTACGTGAGGCATTATTGCATTTTCTATTTAAAGGCTAATGTACTATAATCGACATTAACTCGAATTTTGCAAAGGAAATTAAGAAAAATGTATATCGTATTATACATGTTTTATTTACTTCAGTTGGTATTAAGAAAATATAATATGTAACCATTGACTTACAATTATATGGACGTCGGGTCCGCGCTAAAAAGTGTCCGCACTTGTAAGGCGCTAAAATCGTATACAGAGCGCCAAACTCCGCTTTAGTCTTCATTTGTTCGACTGACAGCGCGATACAGCGATCATATTACAATTTAAATTTCGAATAGGTTGAATTGGGACATTTTTTTCGTGGTTTTTGTATTAGACCCGTCGTCCATTTATTTGTAAGTCAATGTATGTAACGTACCTATTTGAATACAGCTGTCTTTTTTTAAATTTTCGAGGTAAGTTTTGTTTTTTCCATCATGAAAATTTGTAGGAATCGTCTTTTCACACCGTATACTAATCTCAATTTTACTACATATTTTCACCAAACCTTTTTGATTCAACACTTTCACTGTTAGGCGGAATCAACCAAAACCTTTTGAGGTAGTATAGAGTCTTAATCAGGATAATTGTTATGCAATGTTGGTATAAACAACTGCTGAGGGGTTTCCAGATCATCAGCTTTTTCCCCAGTTAATGCAGAAGTGTTATAATATTAATATTCTTAAAATAAATTATTTATTTCACTGCCATTTATCCGACTTGAAATTTAGTATGCTGTGGAAATCCTATGACATTACAATATTGACTTACAAAAAAATGGACGACGGGTCTAATACAAAAACCACGAAAAAAATATCCCAATCCAACCTATTTAAACGTAGTGACATGTAAAGGAATATGAAAAAGCTAAAACGTTGAATTTAAATTGTAATGTCATCGCAGTACTGTCTAATTTAAATATTTTTAATTAATGTATATCTAGTGTAAATATTTTTATATATACCAAGCCTCACGCACATGTTAGGCATGTATTTGTTTTGTTTGTGCTCGAGTCCGTGCTTCACTCATATCGGGCTTGCTGAAAACCAGCGCTGCAGGCTGAAATCTATGAGCCTGTAGCTAGTAGCTGAGCAAATCCCGTTTGCGTGCGCCGCGACACGCATTTATTATTACATTTTTAATAATTTTTTTTTATTTTTATTTTGTTTTAATCATTATAATTATGTTGTAACTTTTGTTGTAAGTCCTGTATTTTAGTTTAAAGTTTATAATGTTCTATTTTAATTTTAAGATCATGTGTGTCTCGGTACGCGGTTACGCAATAAAGTATTCTTATTCTTATTCTTATTCTAATTTTGCTTGCTTCGCTGTCAGTCGAACAAACGAAAACTAAAGCGTGAATGACGCTCTGTATACGATTTTAACGCCCTATAAGTTCGGACACTTTTTAGCGCGGACCCGACGTCCATATAATTGTAAGTCAATGCATTACAATAATAATAAAATTAATTTACACTCTTCAAAGCCTTACTGCCAATCGTTCTACACGAGCAGCCTGTGGGTCAGTTATAAAAAAATCGCTTAGTGCCCTACGGGTCACATACAATAATGGGTTTAGAATGTTGATGGGGTTGCCCCGTTTTTGCAATGCGTCTACCACGTTTGCAGAGGCGCGGGTTAATAGTTTCTATGCCATTATCTGCAAAAAGACAGCCTCATTGCTCAGCAGACTGAAAGGCCGTACCTGATAGATATGACCTACCCATTATGAAATCTTTCATTCGGGTCCTGCTTGAGTAGTCTCATAAGAGAGTATTGGGTCTTGACGCGGGTGAGAGATCCGAGAGTCGGCTGCCACTTTTTATAATTTAATTTTGTGCAGCTATTTATTATTATTACCACTAACTTAGTATTTAAGTTATATTTGTAGGTTACTAACACTATTGGACGTTAAAAACAATTGTGTTTAATAAAAGCATATATTGAATTGATATTCAATTATTTTTTGTGAAATTACTCAACTAGTTAGTCGTCGTCCGTTCGAATCCGGTCGGATCGATGGAATTTTTTCTGAGTGTTCGATCTTTGTATTAATAATTATAACAAACTGTATAAGTGGTAAGTGGAGTAATTTCACAAAAAATAATTGAATATCAATTCAATAGAAATTTTAAATACAATGAATAGCGACATCTCTCGCCAGGGCCGGTAGCTGTAAAGATATCTAACTGGGTGATAAAACTTTCATATATTTGTCATAGATGGCGCTACGACTAAAAACTCGTTTAAAAACCAAATACAAAGACACGACAACAAGCACATTATAAAATTCGTGAGCTCCGCTGGCTCGTTCCGTGGCTTAGTTGGTATAGCGTCTGCCACGGTATGCTAGAAGACGTCGGTTCGAACCCTGCCAGGTTGAAGGAATTTTTTCTGTGTGTTCGATCTTTGTATTAATAATTATAGAAATTGTGCTGTCTGAATAAATAATTATTAATAATAATAAAAATAATATACTTTGGTCAGAAGCTGCCACTGGGGCAGTCTTAATTATTACTAACTCCTCCACTACTTGCAACAGAAATTTCGTGTTTTAGCCATCAAATTGTTCTCGATGAGTTGTTATGGTGACTTTATTGTCCTTTTGGGTATCGAAGTTTTTTAATCTGAGAGTGCGTGCGTGTGCGTTATTATTTAGGAGTGACTGTAATGTACCACAGATTACTTGATAGTTACTACGTAACAGGTACATCACTGTCATACAAAATCAAAAATACCTACGCTAAATAGACTACCAAGTCTGACTAATGACACCTGGGGGCCTACCACAACCTCTTAAAACAATATTACTTTAACCTTACATTGACTTTTTGTATCATGACACTCTTAAAGTAAGCTTATTATAATGTTAAAACAATAATGTTTTATTGGCAGCTTTGTGACTATTCTTTCACTCAGTTCGTACTATGACGCGACTTTAACATTAAAGTAATATTGTTGTTAATTTTCGAATTTATTGACTAAATATTGATTTGTAACGATTGA